CGGTCCAATTGTTCGATTCAAACGGTCGGCCCATTCTAACAAAAAAAATAAAAAAATTAAAAATTTGCAGAACGGTCAAAACTGTTCAAACGGTACAAACGATTAACCAGTTTTTTTCTACGTGTTTTGTTTTACTTYAGGTTCAGTAATCTTTCCATAAATTCTCTACCATCAAAATTGAAGTAAAATGACTGGAATGTATAAATCCCCMCCCCCACCTCAATCGCTACATTGATTTACAATTATTCATTGGGGTTCAGCGGTTTGCTTACCAAAATCAACGGTTTTGAGAGAAAAAAACATTTTGGATTAAAATGGAACCGGTCAAGTGATCGATTCCCAATTTTTCCGGTTCGACCGTCCGGTTTTGAAAACAGTGGATGGGATCATTGGTGTTTGAACGGACAGTCTCGACATAATCTGGTCCCCTCTGCCAAAGATGAATTTCTACTGTCATTATATCCTCCAGCCCTTTTCTTTTTTGTTTTAAGTTATGAAATTTTATAACCAAAATGTTAAAAGCTAATATGGATTGGGATTGTAATTAGGATCAATGTTTTAAAAAATGAACTAGAATCGGAACCGTTTTGGCCACCGGTTTCTAGGTTGATGGTTAGACCATCTGGTCCAAACAGCCTGATCTGACAAAATAAATTAAAAAAATAATTAATAATAATTAAAATTTAAAAACAGCCAAAAACTGTTGAACGGGTTAAATGAGTTGACGGTTTGACCGCCTAAATCAACAGATCATTGACTAATTCAACAACTTTTGACCAAGGACCGGATTTGGGATAAAATGGAATCAGTTGCCTAGACGATTCCTGGGCTGAACGATCCGACCGTCCAAATCAACGACGGTTCAAAAATAATGATTAGGATTATAGTAGCGTGTGCGCATGAAATTGCAAGAGTGCATGCAATGCAATGGTTCTCACTTAACACTCAAACCCCTTCCCTGTCCAATCCGAATTTCCTACTAACTTCTCTCTATTCCTTTTATCAAAAAGTATCCAATTTTTACTTTGGATGGGGCCTTTTTTTCAAAAAGTATTTAATTTTTTGCAAATCTTCCTTGATTTCTTATGGTAAATACATAAGAATGGTAATTTTTCAAAAAGTATCCAGTTTTCATAAATTTACACTTATGCGCATGAAATTGCAAGAGTGCATGCAACGCAAGGGCTCTTTTCCACTTATAATATTCATTGAAACTTTATCGTCGTTTTGTTCAATGAAAGATTGTTTTCGATTTCTCCAGGATCAATAAATAATTATTAATTGGCTCAGCTTTCAAGTTGTGGGTTTAAAACATATGAACTTTTCTTGTTGTTGTGGTTGAAGATGTTGGGAAGGGTATAACTTTTATGTTTTTATGAACAATATTGAGAAGGTTTTTGGATTGTAGGAAAATTTTAAATTACTTATGGTAAAATAGAAAACCTTCGTTTCCAAGCAAATAGTTTCTAGAGGCAGGGCAAGAACAACTGAGACAAAAGATTCAAATATTGATAGGTAGCACGAGAGAATTTGTATAATTTTTCTATCGATTGCTGTGGAGTGTGGCTAGAGCCTACAGAGAATTTTTTCTTGATCCTTGAAGAAATCTGAAAGGGGCTTTTTGTATAATAACGATCAAAGCCCAGAACAAAAGATTTCTGAAAAGAGACGAAGAAGAAAGAGAATGGGGAAGAAGAATTTGGGCTTAAATGAAATATGTATTTCTTAAGAAAGGTTTAATTAATGTTTGAAAAATTGATATATTTTACAAAGAGTATTTAACGGAGGGATTAAGCTCTTGGTTAGTTGTTACACTAAAGTTAGACTCCACTAACATGATTAAAAACAGATGGAATCATTTTATTGGGTGTTAGTAGAGAGGGGAGTAGAGGGAAGTTAGTAGGAAATCCGGGCCCATCTTCTATGAATATTCCCAATGGACAACTGAGGAATTGTTTAGTGTAGTGATGTTGCATTGTTTTTTGTCTTTTGGGTTGATTAATATATTAGGTGTTTCATGTTTGGAAATGATTCCATTTTTTTAAAAAGTGGCACCACATCAGTTCTACATCTGAAATCTGTTTCTTGAAGAAACGTTAGCGCTCACCATTTAAATGAATGTTTTCTAAAAAATGTTTTCTCAAACCATGCCTTGATAATTAGGAAAAGCGTGGTCTGAAATAATGTCCTTTTAGACGTTTTCTTGTTTATCAATGTTGCTAACAAGTGCATGTGGTATTGAAAAAACACATATATGGCAGCAATGGTCCCAAACAAAAAGAAAAGTATTTTTTGAGAAAACAACATTGGAGAAACAGCACCAGTTCCAAACACCACCATAAACTTGTAAGAAAGGTTTTTTCAAAACATTTTGGATTAATCAATACAAATTGCTATTTTTACTTAAAAGTTAAAACATCAAATTTGATGTTCCCCTATACATGCAGTTTTCTAGTTGAAATGACATTCATATATAATGTGGTAATACATATTTCTCACAAATCACAAATCTATATTGATCAACCCAAAACTCAAAGACATTGCAACGCCACTTCACCAAACATGAAACATCCCCTGAATTATTCAGCGTTAATTCAAAAACCACAAAAGTTTATGTTGTTTTATCCAAAATACAAAAAAAAAAAAAGTCTTATTTGCCCGATTGGTAGCGTGGTGTGTTTGGATCTATGGACCCCAATGTGATGTAAATGAAATTACATGATTTAAATAACACCACACTCCATAAGATGTTTTACATTGTGGCATGGATGTACTGTGAACAAAGTTTTAAACAATGTTTTAAAAACTGACCTGGAATTGGAATCATTCTGGTCACCAGTTTTTGGGTTGATGGTTCAAACAGATTGCTCGTTTTAATTAAAAAAATATTATTTAAATAAAAAATGGTTAAAACTATTGAACGGGTCAAATGGATGGATGGTTCAACCACCCGAGTCAATAGATCATTGACCAAATCAATTATTTTTGGCCAACGATCAGGTTAAGGGTGAAACAGAACCAATTACATGAACAATTCCCAAACCAAACGATCTGACTGTCCAGATCAATGGTGGTTTAAAAACACTGATTTTAAATAAAATATTTTAATCAATTATTACATCATTACATACACTGATTCACTAATAACCAATTTAAGCACACGAGATCCTCGTGTGAAAGAGAAATTGCAGTGATTTACATCTTAAAACGATCCACACGCCACACCCAGACAAGTTTCAAAGGCAAACAATCCACAAAATATCCACAGTATAGAATAGCAAATTGCCTTGACATCCGTATAAAGCTTCTATCTCAGACAAGTATTGTTGGATGATCAGATGATGATCTTATTTGTTTAATTATTAGTTGTTTGCTGCAAGAAAATGGGACCCAATATTTTGATCGCAGCACATTGAGCGATGCTCATGCCCGTTTGGATGCTTCAGAAGTTCTTCCTTCCTAATCCGTTAAGCTTGGAGAAGATTTTTCGAGAAAAAAAAAGGTAGGTTTCAGACTTTCAGGTCGCATCTGTATGTGGAAAAGATGAGACCAAATCAGCCCCCACAAAATTGTCCCCCACAATGTCTCACAGCACATTTTTGTCATGTATTGAGAACATTTTCTGATAATGATATCACCATTTCTAGAATTATTATCAGAAGATATTTCTAATACACAATAGAGATTTGCTGTGGGGTGTTGTTGGGGGCTGATTTGAACTAGAAAAAGATGGACCCAATTTTAGGTGCATTATTGGCCCTCATTCCACACATTTCTCTCTCTCCATCCTGTCTCTTTTTACATGAGATTCTGGGAATGAATGGCCCAGTATTTATTAATAATTGGGCATTATTGTTTGTCAAAGGGTCCGAGTTTATCCAACAGAACCGAGCCTATCAAACCAATTTTGAGATTTTGTTTTGATTAATAATTGGGTTGAAACTGGTTTTTGCTGTTTAGTTAAGATGTTTAATAATATATGAAAACATATTTTTTCTTGTAATGCTTGTTAAATTTTATGTGCCAAAAGATAAATTACATGGATAATATATATATAAAATAATTTTGATTTAAAACACCTTTCTTATTATCAGCATATAAACAGTATTTTTTTTATTAAGATTATATTATCAAAAATAAAGTTTTAAGTTGTAATTATCATGGGTAATCAGAGACCATCTGATCTAATAGGGTCAGACACATCCCATGAGTAATTAGAGACCATCTGGTTCACCAATTAATAATTGATTGGGGACAGGTACAGCCACTCCCCGAACCAGACTAGACCCATTGACAGCAAGTGTCAAATATCGATTCATTGGATAGACGTGCATAGCTAGCTAGTGTAGCGGTTCACATCTCATCCAATCATTCAATTCACTTATTGGGTTTCCATCACACAGAAATCATCCAATTTTCAATGTACATCCATCCATCAATCTCTCCTCCTACTCGTGAAAATAATGACTCATGGGTGTCAAGGAATTTTTTAATAATGGGCTTTCAAACTTCAATGCATTCACACGAATCACATGTAGATTCTCTTCCAATTGGTTTTGAAATAAAACAGGCATGTTTCGCCAAACAATGAGCCATAGTGTTATTCGTAAACATGATGTAGCCACCAAGGATTGATCCACCAGGAAAATAATAATCTATTACGCCTCTCCCTCTAACCAAATTGATTTAGATTTTAGATCTGAAATATTATTTGGGTTGATTAATACAAATTGATGAAAAATGCTAAAGGGTTGGAATGAAAAATTAATAACATCATAAAAATGGTAATCAATCAGGTGAGTTTTCACCGGAAGTTTTTGATTGGTCAAGATCTATTGGGTATAATGATACAAAACACCATCTTAGGCTGTCGGCTGTGTTTGATTTGATACAAAATAAGAGAGAGAGAGAAAAATGAGGGCCATGCCAATGCCAAGCCAAACATAGCCTTAGTGTGGGAACTACCTTATAAAGGCAGAGCCATATTATAAACACCCATCCCCATACAAACGGCCACACGTATTACGTAACTTACAACCACCCCAACTTCCCTCCCGCCAAAATGAACGGCGATCACAAAATTGATTCAACCTCCGATGACCCTAAAACACCACTCTTACCTGTCGTCCAACTCCAAGAGACAATTCAGAGGTCACCGAGCTTCCACCACCGGTGTCCGGAATCAATATTCACAGCCAATAACCTGTTCATACTCTTGGGTCCCTTATCATGCGCTCTCATCTGCACATTTGTCCACCTGAATGCTCCCAACACCAGCCGGAACATGTTAGCTATTCTGGCCTGGGTTTTCATATGGTGGCTCACCGAGGCCGTACCCATGCCCGTCACATCCATGGCCCCTCTCTTTCTCTTTCCACTCTTTGGGATTTCTTCTGCTGATGCTGTAGTTCAATCTTACATGGATGATGTCATCGCTCTCGTCCTCGGCAGCTTCATACTCGCTCTTGCCGTCGAACACTACAACATACATGGGAGATTGGCCCTGAATGTGAGTTCTAAATTGCTACTTTCTTGTTGGATTTTCCATTTAATAATCATCTCGTTTGGTTCTTAATCCCATTACAGATAACCTTGTTGTTCTGCGGGGATCCACTGAATCCACCACTGCTGCTGCTAGGGATCTGTGCCACCACAGCATTCGTCAGTATGTGGATGCACAACGTGGCGGCAGCGCTGATGATGATGCCGGTGGCGACCGGAATCTTACAGCGATTCCCGGTGGGTCTGGGCCGTTCGGATGTCATCAGCAGGTTTTGCAGAGCAGTAGTTTTGGGGGTAATCTATTCGGCAGCTATAGGAGGGATGAGTACTCTGACAGGAACAGGTGCCAATCTTATATTGGTGGGGATGTGGAAGAGCTACTTTCCGGAGGCAAATCCCATTAGTTTTAACACTTGGTTCTTCTTTGCTTTCCCTTTGGCTTTGCTGATTTTCCTTGCATTGTGGGGAATACTTTGCCTGCTTTACTGTTCTAAGGATTCAGGAATTGCTCTTTCTGCCTATCTGGACAGAGCCCATTTGAAAAGGGAGCTTGAATTGCTTGGTAAGTCCCTACACTCCTACTCCTATCCTATGCTCAACAGTTATAAAAAGAAAAAAAAAATGTGTAATTGAGATAATGATCATCCAAGCACCGGCCCCATATTTCATCGATGTGAGCTCTGTTTTGGAACTCTATTAAAAAAAAAAAGCTCTGTTTTGGCATGATCAGCATCAGAATAGAAAAAGAGTGGACCCACTTTTTTTTGAAACAGAACAAATTTATAGCTTTCTACCAAAAAAAGAAAAACAAAACTTGTAGCTTTGAAGTATTTTACATTTACAGGCTAGTTTTCTATTCTTGATTTATTTTTGTAAATGCTTTCCAGTCTTGAATCAGATACCCAGCTCCTACCATAAAAAAAAATCAGATACCCAGCAAAAGTGTTCTTGAGATTGTTGTTTTACACTTTTACTTTTGTCTTTAATTATATATTTATAGACGACAAAAAAAAAAGTTATATATGTAAAGACAAAATTGATTCTGTGCATGCTAAAAGTATTTAGATTTCAATTGAATGGCTCCAGTTCAATGTATTAACCAGAAAGAACTGGTGAAAAACGGAAATGGTCATTGGTCACGTCATTCTTTGATAACCAGGATGAGTTTTGTGCTTCTTGAAAACACCAGATTCATTGGGTCCAGTATCATACCTTTCTGGCATCATAGAATGTGGTGGGTTTATTGTTTGAAGTCAAACCATCTAAAACCTGAACACCCCCTAATTAATCAACTGACCTGATTGACTGAATTTAACCAAATAAACCGTTATATATATTGTTTGGTTTTAAGAGAACCTCCAACAGTGCCCCTGATGGTGTAATAACATTCGGGTTTCTGCATGGACAGGTCCAATGGCTTTTGCAGAAAAGATGGTGTTGGCAGTGTTCTCGGTATCTTTGTTGCCATTGCAAAAGATTTAAATATTACTTGGAGGATTGTTTGAGTACTGAATGATTAAAATATATGGGTGTTCACACAGATACTCGTAGCTTTGTGGATGACAAGAAGCATAACGGATGATATTCCGGGATGGGGTGTCCTCTTTCAGGGGCGTGTAGGCGATGGAACAGTTAGTGTAAGGAAAGCTACTTTGAAGAAATTTTAATGTCGTCTGTTCAATATTCACATATAGCTCAGCATTAAATGTGCAATGTTTGGGGGAATAGGGACCCCATTAATGGGTTCACAGAGATCATGAATTTTCTCAAATACTCCAATGGAGTTACTAGTTAATTTAATCAAGGCTTTCTTTTAATGAAATCTTATGTAGGTGATGGTGGCGACAATATTGTTCATAATCCCTAATAAGAAGCAGAAGGGAGAGAAGTTGATGGACTGGAGCAAATGCAAGAAGCTTCCATGGAACATCATATTGCTACTCGGAGCTGGTTTCGCCATAGCCAATGGTGTTAGGACAAGCGGCCTGGCCGACGTGCTATCTGCTGGCTTAGATTTCTTGGAGCATGCCCCATATCTTGCCATCGCCCCGGCCGTCCGTATCATAAGCGGGATCATCACTGAGTTCACATCGAACAATGCAACCACCACACTCCTCCTCCCACTACTCATCCAGTTGGCCGACACCATGCATGTACACCCTCTCCTCCTCATGGTTCCTGGAGCCATTGGCGCCCAATTCGCGTTTTTGCTCCCAACCAGCACACCTTCAAACATTGTAGGATTTACTACTGGGCACATCGATATCACAGACATGATCAAGACAGGGTTGCCTCTTAAGATTGCCGGAATTGGTGCTATCTCCCTTGTAATGCCTACGCTAGGTACGGATTATTCATTTTCTTGTCCTTCTATTTCCTTTAACAAAGAAAACTGATACTGCGAAATGAATCCATGATCCACATATATATTCATTTTTTTCTAATTCTGATAAAGTTGTGTTCACTTCCAAATTCAATGTACAAGAAATTTGTTTTAAGGCATCCTTAAACATTTTGGTGTTTGTAGGAGCATATGTATTTGGGACAAATAATGATCAATAACTACAGGTGGCAAAGTTGGTGCAAGAATTATGTGCAACTTCATCCCGGATCAGTAGCCATGTCTCTGGACGAGGATAAGCAGTTTTTTCGTACCCCCCAAGAGAACAAGTCCATAGTGTACCACTGTATTGTATGCACATAGTTTTAAAAGAATACTAACTGCTTTCCATGCCGAAGGATCACTGGTGAATCAGATGATTAATCACCAGTAAGATCCGACAGAATTCACTTAAGCCCATATGTAGATATGTCATTTTATACAAAGAAGATCAAAGCTGTTTGACTAGGAATGATGTTCAATTGTTAACTGTCTATAAAATTCAGTTGACTGAATAATCATTGAAGAGGAATACCATTGATGTGGTATTCCAAAACTCGATACAAACAAATAATTAACAAAAGTAATTCAGCTATGCATCACACAGTACTTTGTTTGGTCATATTTCTTTGGGGCCTGTTAGATTGGATTGTTCAGAAAAAACGAGGAAAGGACCAAAATGCAAGGTTGCATACAATAATACAATGCACTTGCATTAAATAGTCTGTAAACATCTGAAAGAGCATTTATATTCTGCAAGTAGAAAATTGATTCTTTTTTTTCCTTTCAGCTGTAATTTTGTTTTATTTTTCCCTCTGTGTACAACACCATAAATACATAGAATAAATAGCATCTAGACTCCTGGAGACTTGCAACATTGCATTTCCAATAAAAGATTTGCTCTAAAATGATTTTCTGTCCTCCGTAGCAGACTTAATTCTGCTGATAAATTCATCCACACTTATGGTCCCAAGCTCCCCTCCAAACCTAGATCTAACTGTAACCGTTTGTGTTTCAACTTCTTTGGGTCCCACAACAGCCATTAATGGAATCTTCTGTTTCTCTGCATTTCTAATAAGCTTTGGTAGGCGCTCACCATGACAAACTTCAGCTCGGATACCATTTCCTTTTAGCTTTTTAGTCACCTCATGACAATATTCAAGCTGCGAAAGGAAAACAAAAACATCATCATCATCCACGCCTCATGCCAACTATATGGGGTCAGCTACATGAATCCTGATACGTCACTTGTAAGGGAAATCTATTAGCACCAGCTCACTTGTACATCTTGAAATAACAATGTGCTAAGAAGCTAAACATTCAAAATCAAGGAAGATCTATGTACCTGTGTGTCAGTGACGGGTAAAACACGAGCTTGGATTGGAGAAAGCCATACTGGAAAATCACCTGCATAATGCTCTATGAGAATACCAAAAAACCGCTCTAAAGATCCAAGTACTGCTCTATGAATCATGATCGGCCGCTTCTTCTCCGTATTTGAATCAACATAGGTTATGTCAAAACGCTGAGGTAAATTGAAGTCAACCTGTTTCAGAAGCCAAAGGAAAATTATTACTCCAATAGATGGCCCCCTTGTGATTAACCTAACCTACATTTATAATTTCTTTGAACATGGAAGTTCAAGTCTGAAGGACATATGTCGTGACACTTCCCATCTAAAAGGTAACAACTTCCAGCCCAATGTCATGTAGAAGGGAAGAGCTTCTTTCTAAGCATGCAATGAGATGCAGGTTCATATTTCTAAAATATTATAAAAAGAACAAGAGAGTAGCCATTTACACAGAGAAGGGCTAAAAACGAAAAACGGTTCATATGTCAACTTTTTCTTTTTCCTCTTTTTTTCTTGGAAATGTCATACGTCAACTTTAATTGAAGTCATCAATATCAATACCCTCACTGTCAAAAGAAAAGAAACATAGTTTAAAATTGTCACAGAAGTATCTGTATCACTGTATCTGAACAGTATTTGCATCTTGGAAATGTCATTGTCAGAGAAGTATCTGTATCAGTATCTGAACAGCATGGTCATGCAAATCTCTCCCTAGGCTTCCATTTACAGTGCAAACTTCCCTTGCACTGGTGTAGAATATGTAGATGCATGGGAATGCAAGTGTTTTAAAGGCACACCTAGGGGTCGGCTACATGAATCCTGTTTCACCAATTCGCTCTATTTAAAGCCATCTCGTATCCTCTTGTACCTTTTTTATATGTTTTCCTCTATAATGGTCTATTAACTTTTAAATTACCTTTTATTGGTGCTTATAAACTAATAATGATCTATTAACTTTATAATTGGGGAGAACTATACTCGAGCACTATTTTCAGGACCAGTTGGAATAAACAATTTTAACAAAGAATTATGGGCATTGTTGCATGGATTGATGCTGGCTAAAGCACTCGACATCAGGAACTTGCAAATAGAAGGAGACTCAGACAATTATTTGTTAGGCCAAAAACAGAAACAACCTTGCTGATAGGCTGGCAAAATCTGGACTCTGGAGTACCTAAAGAGAAACTGTTTTGGGCAATTGTACCCATAAGAATATGCAAGGGATTAGTTAACCAAGGCTAACTTTGATGAAGTACATGGCACTTAACATTGTAATTATATTTTTTTGAAAGCAATAAATTCTGTTGTTACTGATAAATGATTTGAAAGAAAAAAAAAGCAAAGGATTTTTTAATACATGAAGCCGTAACTGTTGTGGATAGGATCTCAAAATAGCAAAATTTCACTTGGTAAAGATTAAATCAGAAAATAGTGGTTTTCTGATTCAATTCAGTAGAAAATTGAAGAGAGAAAGGTCACGAATAGAAGAAGAAAGAGAAGAGGAGAAGGGAAGAAGAAAGAGAGAAGAAAGGGTTCAGCAGAATTAAATTCTCTAGTCGCCCACTAAATCTTATTTATATTGTGATCTTTACAATGACTATAGTTACCTTAATACCCTTACTTAAAAAATAAAAGAAAACAAACAAGCCCCAACCGGCCCAACTACCACAACTGAAAAATAAATAGATAAACAGCAAATATAAAGTGTGGGGCTGGAACCCTACACACACTAATAGCCTATCAGCTATCTCTACACTCCCCCTCAAGTTGGGGGTAGATATTTGGCATACCCAACTTGCGTAAATTTGTCTCCAACCTGATTTTTGTGACTGCTTTAGTAAAGAGATCAGCTAGCTGCATGTCGGAGGTAACATAGGGAAGACACACTTCTTGAGATGCAACTCACTCTCGGATAAAATGTCTGTCCACCTCGATATGTTTAGTCCTGTCATGTTGTATTGGGTTGTGGGCAATGTTATTATTGTTTAATTATCACAATACAGCATTAGAGGTTTCTCATAGTCAATTCCAAGTTCATCCAGCAAAGAATTCAGCCATAACACTTCTACAACACCATTGGCCATGGACCTGTATTCAGCTTCAACACTGGAGCGAGCAATAACATTTTGTTTCTTGCTTCTCCAAGAAACAAGGTTCCCCCCTACAAATGCACAATTTTTTTTTTTTGATCAATAACAACATTTCATTACTTAATCACAAAAGAATTACAAAGAGGAAGATAAACTTTCTTATCTTCCAAAGGGAGCAAACACCCCCAAGAACAAAAAGAAAAAATTACACTTGTGCCCAAAACATTGATTCCCTCACGACTCCTTACTTAGCTAATCCATCCGCAAAGGAGTTAGCTTTCACCCAACTGACCTTAACTTCCATCTCCTGAACCAGCCATCTAAACTTTCTCCTCTCATTACTGTACATCCATAAATTGCTATTTTCTTTATTCAGCCACCCTACCACCACCTCTGAATCCCCTTCAATGAAGAGTTTTCTTATATTCATTTCCTTGGCTCTTTGAACTCCTTCCAACATGGCAAGTATTTCAGCCCTGAGCCTACAAATGCACAATACCTAGAGGTAGATCTTCTGTCATCAATGGATCCAGCCCAATCAGCATCTGTATACACATTTATCTTCATGTGACCACTATTCTTGAAAAGTATGCCTCTCCCTGGGCATCTCTTCAAGTAAGAAAGTATCCTTTCCACCGCAAGAAGGTGAGTGATCCTAGGAGAACGCATGTACTGACTGACAACACTGACAGCATATGAAATGCCTAGTCGTGTTAGGCAGAGATAAATAAGTTTCCCAACCAACCTTTGATACATAGCCCTGTCCTCAAGAGGTTCTCCACCTTCTGCACTTATTTTATGGTTCAACTCAATGGGTGTGTCAGCAGGCTTTACTCCTTACTTTCCAATTTCTTCCAATTAAGTCAAGGACATATTTTTTTTAGAGATAAAAATGCCATGCTTAGATCGAGCTACCTCAATTCCCAAGAAACAGCACAGTTCTCCCAAGTCCTTCACTTCAAATTCTTTGTGAAGATCCTGCTTAAGAGAGTCTATCTCACTAATATCACTTTCCATCACCACAATGTCATCCACATAGACAACAACTAAGGTCAAGGAGTCTGTCTTCTGAAAAAAGAGAGTGTAATCTGATTGAGCCTGCATGTAACCGAACTTTTCCAAGGCTAGTCTAAACCTATCAAACCAAGCTCTTGGAGATTGTTTCAGCCCATATAAAGCCTTCTTTAGTCGACAAACTTTCTTTTCTGCTTCTGTACTGTAAAAGCCGGGGGGTAACTCCATGTACACCTCCTCCTGCAAATCTCCGTTTAGAAAAGCATTCCTGACATCCATCTAAAACAGTGGCCAAGAGAAATTTGCAGCCATAGATAGTAGGACTCTGATAGTGTTCATCTTGGCAACTGGTGTGGTGCAAAGGTTTCCATATAGTCTATGCCATAAGTTTGTGTTAAGCCCTTTGCAACCAATCTGGCCTTATATCTCTCTACAGAACCATCAGCATTATATTTCACTGTAAACACCCATCAGCATCCAACAGGTTTCCTCCTCTCAGGCTGGTCAACTAGTTACCATGTATTGTTCTTAACAAGTGCATCCATCTCTACTTTCACCGCTTCCTTCCACTCAGTTATCAAAAGAGCTTCTTGCACTGTTCTGGGTATAGGAATGGTAGCAATAGATGCCAGGAATGATCTATAGGATTCTGAGAGACGATCATAAGAGAAAAACTGGGAGATACAATGAGCAGTAGATGAAGTACAATGATGCTTCCCTTTACGAATTGCAATTAGGAGATCAAGGTCATCTGAAGGAGGAGGCTGAGGCTCAACAGTGTTTGCCAAAGTATCTGCAACAGTGGGCTCAATAGTGGGTGTAGTGCCTAGATCTGAAGTTGTAGAAGGTGTTGGGATCAGCCTGGACTGCTAAGGACGAGAATCAGCCTGCCTCCACCACTGTCTTTGATACACTCTCAACTCCCTGCACTTCTGACAACCCTCTTCACGACACTCCCCCTCAATAACTGGGATAGGTAATGGAACTTCTGGGGCTGAAATCCCTTCCTCACGACTCTCCCCCTAAGGAAAAACCCTATGATAGTAGGGCATATCCTTAAAAAAGGTGACATCCATGGATACAAAACGCCTTCCCGAAACAGGCTCATAACAGCAATACCCCTTTTGATATTGTGCATACCCAAGGAAAATACATTTAGTAGCTTTGTGATCAAATTTGGAGCGATGAGGTCCAAGGATTTGAACAAAACAAGTACACCCAAAGGTTTTAAGGGAAATAGTGAACAAGTCCTTGTCTGGATACAGAAGGTTGAATGGTGTTTTCATGTCTACAACCCGTGAAGAAATTTGGTTAATAAGATAAACAGCAGTACAGGTTGCATCCCCCAAGAAGCATACGGGAACATTAGAGTTGAAGATGATGCTTTTGGCTACTTCCAAAATATGTCTGTTTTTTCTCTTAGCAACCCCATTTTGTTGAGATGTACGAGGACAAGTGCTCTGATGAATAACTCCATGATCTAGGAGATATGATGCCAAGGGTTTTGCAAAGTACTCCTTGGCATTATCAGATCTGAGCGTTTTGATCTTGATTTCAAATTGGGTCAATACCATCAAATGGAAAGCTTGGGTCAAAGAAGGGACCTCATCTCGAGAGTGCATAAGGTAAACCCACGAGAAACGGGTATAATTATCAACAAATAACAATAAATATATGTACCCCCCCCCCATAGCAGGAATATGATATGGCCCCCAAACATCTACAATGTTTTGCAAGTTCACAGCTTTCACACCTCAAACTAGACACTTGGATTGACTCAAACAAATTTGGAAACAAACTCTTCAAAGACCCAAAAGACAAATGACCTAATTTGTTATGCCAAAGCATAATCTGACCCAAAGACTGAGAAACAAACAATCTCCCAACTTCACTCTCCTTCCCCTGTGGATGCTCAAGCAAGTAGACTCCATTCGTCTCACGACCAATCCCAATCACTTTCCTCGTTTCCAGATCCTGAAAAACACAACGGTCATGAAGAAAGGTCACTGGACAGTTTTGATTCCTAGTAATACTACTAACTGAAAGCAAGTTAGCACTAAGCTTAGGGACATGCAAAACCGAGGACAAGGA